GCTGCTCATGACACAGGAGGCAACCCCCTGCAAGTGGGCCAAGTGGGATTTGTGATTCCCCAGAGCCCTGCTAAATGGGATTGGTGATCCCCACAACCCAGTTCAAGGCGATTGGATCCCCAACGCAGCTTCATGGGACAATCCCCAAAAGGCTGAACTCATGGCTTTTTGCGATGAGGCGGTGGAAGACTACCGAACGCATTGATTCGCACATCGCTTGGGAAGATTTTGGAGAATGCTGCAAATCAGCGCTGCGGTGGCGAACCGACGAGCCCTCCTGTCATCGTCGCAACAAGCTTGTCATCACCATCTATGACCGCGACTGTTTGGCTGATGTGTCCCTCTGCCTCAGGGTGCACAAGACTCCAACAAACCGGTGATTCAGCATTATCAAAGTCTGAGTTTACCCACACCTGCAAGTCGCACACTGCCATCGCAACAGCGATGCCCAGAGGTGGGTGTCCTCCGCACACGAAGCCGCGGCTGACAAGCTTTGGGTAGTGGATGACCTGATAGCACATGTTTGTTTGGGCTGATATTCAAAGCGACGCTGGCACTGGCAACCTATTTTCGCAGTCAACTAAGCTGGCGGCTGATGATAGCTGATGAATGAGAGCGTTGAGGTCATTGACCACGTCCTTCGCCTTGACCTTCATCCCTGACTGTCGGGTGATATTCTTGAGCAAAGTTGCTCCTCGTTGTGTCAATCCCTTGCCAGCCACGAGCTTTGTCCGGAACTTGCTGTATGCACTCGACAGAGGAAGTCCTGGATGTCTCCGGTGGAGGCCGCTCTCGACCAAGAAGCGGTTACACAGCACTGCCGCTGTGCGCGTTTTGACAGTCAACCTTGGTTCCAGCAGCAAGTCTGCACCCGGCATATGGATTATGTTAGCTTTGCCAACACCCGGCAGCAACTCTAGTGAGAGGCTGATACTGTTTCTGACCACGCCGCAGCTCATCTTGCAGCAAGACAATCCGATGTTCTAGTGCAGAGCAGTTTATGCTGAACTCGCGCACCAGCGCCTGCGCCTGTTCCACCTTTAACTTTGCCAGCGCCTGTTCCTCACGCACCTTTGCCAGCGCCTGTTCCTCCCGCACTTGCGCAACGTAGTCGGTGATGTTAAGGATGGCATCTACGGACGCAGTCTGTCCAATCATGTTTCGGGCCTCCTGGCTAGGTGTTAGCCTCGCGTGCCGCACCACTGTGAACAGCGGAAGGTTCACACCGCAAACGAAAAGGACGATCATGGCTGGTAAGCGAGCCATGCTGCCGGTGTGTTGCCAGTTTGCATCGCAATCTCCCTGCTGGATCTCTCTAGAACACACCCACACCAAGTGTATCTGATGACTCTGCCACTGTGTTACACAAATGCGAAAACCTTTGATTGACAAATCCAAAAATTGAACAGTTGTGGGATGGCTCATGCTTCCACTGCCAGCACACTCAAACCAATCCTTACAGCAAACTCATAGCCGGTCCTCGTTGTGCTTGTTGCTGTCGGCGTCGTCGACATAGTCGGCTTCAACCAAAGGACTGTCGCTGACTGGGAGGTGGATGACCAAATCTACAACCCTTAACCCTAAACCCTGAACCAAATTCTATGAGGAACCCCTTGCCTATTTTCGGCTAATCATGCCACCTTAGAGAAAATAGATGGGGTAATGGTTATTCCTAGAATTGTATTGATAATGGGCAAGTAGTAGTGATATATCAGTGAAGTGTGTGGGGGGATACAGGAATAATCATCTAATTGGTTGACGGTGGCATTATTAGCCTAAATAGGCAAGGGGGTCCCTAACTGATTCTGCAGCTGCAAGAGTCTTGAAACCTGTATCATCCCTCCAGTGTGGATGCACCCTAAATCCTAGTCCTAAAACCGAAATCATCACATCTTTGATGTCATTTCTGGGGTTTTCGAACACCTGAGTTGAAGCCAGGGCTTATGAGTAGGATTTAGGGTTTAAGGATATTTACACTGCTGACATGTCTTGCTGTTCTGACCACTTCAGTATTACCAATGTCCAATATGACTCTGCCGGACCTTTGTTTCTCGGATTCTGCCGGGTTTCCTGGCAGACTTAAGGCTCTCAGAGAACAACAAGGCTCTACCCTGTGCTTCTCGTTTCTGAAGCAATGCCGAACATGTGGCAGAACACAAAGTTGAGCTTAACATACAATGCCTTCACTATTCGGGAAGGACATACTACCAGAACACAGCATGCCAGTGAATTCGGCTCGTCAACCGCCGGCCGCCGGCTTCGGCAACCTACTGGGCTAGACCTCCACGAAGACCAAGGCTTATGAAATTTCTGCCCGGTTTAGGGTTTAGGGTTTAGGGATTCTGCCCCAGGTGCTGTAGACACTCAACCCAAACCCTAAAGCCTAGGTGACCTACGAAAAATGTGAGAGAGTTTTCAACCTGGCAGCAGTACTGTTTACTTTTCAACTCAGGAATCGAGAACCCAGCAAGCACGACGTCCACGTATTTCTGGCGACTGACAAGCGGGATTCAATACTACGGTGGAGCAAGGACAATCTAAAGACCCAACGCCGTAAGCCTTCACCCCTAAACCCTAAACCTTCAACCTGAAAGGCGAGAATCAAAAAACATGTCCTGAATCTTAAGCCTAAGACAGGGGGGGAGATATCCTAAACTCCAAAAAGACCTTAAACCCCAAACCCGAAAACCAGAAGCCCTAAACCATGACTTCTTTGACCGGGCTCCGCCCTCACAGCACAGCAGTGAATTTGAGCCTCGGCGTCCGCAAATCTTCACACTTTACGGTCTTGGGGCTTCGGGCGAAAAGCCGCAAACTTAGGAGTTGGAGCTATTATCCGAAACCCTAACCCCTAAACCCTAACCCCTAAGCCCTAAACCCTAAACCCTAAACCCTTAACTGGTCTCACGCAAGGTTCTAGAGCACAACCTTTAAAGCGGCGTAGATGCCTTCACGTGCCCGACAACAAGGGCCTACATGGTTCGAACTGCTTCTCGGGGGAAGATCATATTAGGGTTTAGGGTTTAGGGTTTGAGGGTTTTAGGGTTTAGGGCTTAGGGTTTTAGGGCTTAGGGGCTTAGGGCTTAGGGTTGCTACTTGTTTAGGGCTTCGGGATTCAAGGTTTGCTGCATCCCCGCAAAACACCCTAGGCGTGTGATCAAGCTGAGTTTTATGAGGAGCGAAGCATGAAACCCTAAACCTCCAACACTAAGGCGCTAGACCCAAAACCCCTAAACCTAAATCCATCCAGCCCTCCCTCTTCCGGGAATCCTGGGAGGGCCGAAGATCATCCCTACACCCACGGTGAACTGTACACACAAACAAGTGACCTAACACGGAATCAAAAAAAGAACGCTTCGAAGTTCCTTCGCCACCAAGAAATCCAATCCAAAGCTGACGAAGAACGTCAGAGGCTCCAAAATACGTTGATTACGGACACACCGTATAGCGTGATGGAATTCCGCGATGTGATTTAAAGCATTTTGCTAGTTCAAGCAGCTCGACAGAAGACATATCCGTACCCGAAAGCTCTCACGGCAACGAAGCCTCGCAGTACTTTCGAAGCCCTACACTACCAAAATCTCGAAACTCCTAAACCCTAATTAAGCCCTAAACCTAAACCCTAAACCCTAAAGCCCAAAATCTCTAACCCCTAAGGCCTGACCCTCAAGAACCCTAAAGCACGAAGCGCTTCTGCGGCCCAAGCCCACGTGAATGGCGGCGAGACATGCCCCAACTGGGCCGCGAATCGTGAAAAGAGCATTCAATACATCAGTATGTCATAGTCCATTATAGCTTTCTATTCTTTCTATAGTTTTTAAAAATATGTATATCATATTGTGGTATAGACCTGCTCACATCCACATCATCAGCATTGGCATCATCACACTCGTCGACATCTCCGTCGTCATCGTCGGCATTGTCGACGTGGATCCCATCATCACAGGCACGATCAGAACCGTCATCAGACGCATCACCACCATGACCACCACCACTCACTGCTGTCACCGTCGTCGTTGCCAATGCTATCCTCTTCACCACCCATCGTGATTCTCGTGAGCATCTCTGTTGTCACTATGCCTCAGTATGCTCCTGCTCACTCCGATCACTATGCTAACATATGCCATCTACCAACATGGCAATCGCGAGTGGAAAAAATACTCGCAATAAAATTTGCCTGCATGGTTCTGAAGTCATGCAGGTGTGACTTACTACCGATGACGGCAAATTTGCTATTATGATGACGGCTGCAACAGCAATGATCGTTACTGCGATGATTCCGGGAGTCATGTAGACGGTTAATCTCATGATGACTATGGCGGCCATGATGTCTGCTCGGACACTCCTAAGTACGAAGCTGAACTGTGGCAACTTCACAACCATGGGCAGCATGGAAGTTACGATGACCATGAAAACTGCAGCAGTGAGGATGAGTGTTGTGGCACGTGTAACGAATGAAAGCCTAAGACTAGCGTTGCCCCCTAGTTGAACCCTGAACCTAAACCAAGACTCCCGAACCTGAAACCTTACATGTTGCGCTGCGGCCCTGAGTTGTGATTAAATTTAAACTTGCCCTACATCAAGAACTACAACTTCTAACTCTAAACAAAATATTACCATAATTCCGAATTCCTGTACACTGCAGCTCGCATGCAAGAACCAAAGTTCCTATTCAACAAACCTAGGAACTCGGCGGTGTGGGGTTTGAGAATTACGGCTCGGGGTTTCGGGCTCACAGCTTGGGACTTATAGTAGGATTTACGTAGCTCAGGGTTTAGGCTTTCAAGATTTTACGGTATGGTGTCGAATGTCGGATGTCGGTCGTTACCCGAAGCATACCCTAAGAACAAAGGGCTCACGTGGGGCCGGGGCTTCCGGGCAGACCTGTTTGCTCACAGCACGACACGAAACATGATGGTTGATGTAGGCGTTGGGGGTTCTCTGTGGTAACCCTGGGAGGAACCCTCATAGCAATCCTTATGGGGATTCCTTGCCTTCCGATGCCCGGAACATGAGGTCCTGACTGGACCGCACTGGGAAGGAACGTCGTGCCCCTTCAGATGCCGAAGTGTTGGCTTGCGGTTGCTGGTCATCAATGCACAGAATCACCCTTATGATGCCTGCTGTCACGAAGCTGATGCAGACATTGATGCAGGCACTGATGATGATGATGATGACGACGATGATGTCGATGGTGGTGATGATGATGATGATGATGAAGCAGAAGATGATGATGATGATGATGACGACGATGATACTGGTGTTGGTGATGGTGATGACAGATCACACTATCATATTACAGGTGATGGCGAAAAAGAAGAAGATGATTGTCATCATCATCATAACTGGATTTGCTACTACGGAAACCTGTACCAGCATATACCAGCAATATGATTTTATTGTTGCTATGATCGTCGCTATCATGATGCAGTTTTTGACGGTGATGACGGCGACGGCCTCTGAGAGGTTTGGGGTTCAATGCTCCTTGGGGTTCAATGCTCCTGGCTCTGTGCACCTCGAGACTACAATTTGACACTTCTTGGACTTGAAGAATCAATGCAGGGCGTGGTGGCTTAACAGCTTAATTCCACGCTAAAAAAACTCTAAAGACCTGCTTCGGAAAGGATCCTCAGAACACACATGGAAGAAAGGCTTTAAAAAATGATATCCAGCTCCAAAAGGCCTTGAAAACAACTGAACATCCGAACTATAAAACCACAAGTCCCAAAAAGCCTATACCCTAAGCCCTAAACCGTCACCGGAAGAGGACTGAGATTCAAGCCCATCGGGTGTGCGTCCCTGCACGGCCTGGCAGACGAATATCTGGCATACTCTACCACGAACTGTAGTCATGCGGGGGCCTTAATAATTAGAATAGGGTTTTGGTGTTTATTATACTAAAACTATAATAAGGAACCCCCAAACGAGTATTGGTAATTGTTCAGGCCCTTATGATAGTATGACAGCATCCGCCAGTAGACCACTAGACCCTGAACTCCTCGTAAGCCCGAAATTCTTCTCAAGCCCTCCTAAATCCTCCTAAACCCTCCTGTACTCTCCTGAGCCGTTCGACACTCCGAAACTGACTCCCAAACCCTAAACCCTAAACCCTGTACCCCGAAACCCTAAACC